GAGTTTTTGTGATCCTCCTGCCTCAGCTTCACAGAGTCCTAGGATTATAGGTGTGCATCACCATGCCGGGCGAACCACTGATCTTTTTACTGTCTCTACAGTTTTGTCTGTTCGAACTATCAGCTTGTAGCTTTTTTTTTGTTTGTTTGAAACAGGATCTTGCTATGTGGTTCAGGCTGGACTTGAACTCACTATGTAGTGATTTCAAACTCACTGCAATCCTCCTGCCTCTGCCTCCTAAGTGCTGGGATTACAGGTGTGTGCCACCATGCCTGGCAGTTTGAAGCCTTTTCAACTGGCTTATTTATTTATTTATTTATTTTATTTTATGAAAAAAAAAAAAAACAAAAAACAAACCCAAAACTTCATAACAATATAATAGGAGAATAGCAACAGTTAATGCATTGAATATTGTTATCTTTAAAGTACTCAGGGTACAAGATATAGAAATAAAAAATCCTCCAAGCGATATTAGCACAAACCTTTCTTTTCAGTGAACTAAGAGAAGCTACTAGTATAACTGTCTTGTATGTTTTCCCCTTCCTTCCTTTTCCCTTTCCCCCATCCTAGTTCTTTTTTCCTTTTGAACAATTTCTCCCCATTTCACAATATCTATTATACATCTTGGACCTCATTTACTCTTCCATTTTCTCACACCAGGCAGACAATGTGTGAGTCAACTGGCTTCTTTCACTTAGTAATAATATGTATTTAAATTTTGTTCATGTCTGTTCATGGCTTGATAGGTCATTTCTTTTTAGTGCTGAATGATAATTCCATCATTTGGATGTACCAGAATTTATCTATTAACCTACTAAAAGACATATTTGTTGCTTCTAAGTTTTGGCAATTGTGAATAAAGCTACAATACTAGGTGTGCAGGTTTCTGTGTGGATACGTTTCATATGCTTTGGGTAAACACAAAGAAGTCGATTGCTGGATGTTATGGTAAGAACATGTTTATTTTTGTAAGAAATCAATACGCTGGGTGTGGTGGCATACACCCAGCACTCAGAAGGCTGAGGAAGGAGGGTTGCCATGAGTTTGAGGCCACCCTTAGCTACACAGTGAGTTCAAGGCCAGCCTATACTACAGGATGAGACCCTATCTCAAAAAAAAAAAATTAATAAGTTATCTTCTAAAATAACTGCCAGCTGGCTGTGGTGGCATACACCTGTAATTCCAGCTTTTGGGAGGGTGAGGGGGGAGGATCATGGTGAGTTTGGGGCCAGCCTGGGATACACAGTGGATTCAAGTCCAACCAGAACTACATAGCCAGACCCTGTCTCAAACAATTAAAACCAAAACAACAATAACAACAACAAAAGACTAGAACCAAAACCAAAACAAAAAATAACCCTGGAGAAAATAGGTATAAAAGGACTTTATCTCAATCTGATAAAAAGCCATTATGACCAGCTAGTGATCAACATCATATTAAATGGGGCAAGGCAGAAAGCTTTGCCTCAAAAAATGGAAAACAAGATAAGAATGTTTACTATTACCGCTCCTGTTCAATATAGCACTTGAAACATTAGCCAGAGCAACCAGACAAGAGAAAGAAATAAAATCAATAGGTATAGGAAAAGAAGTAAAATTATTATTTTTAGATGACATGTACCTTAACATAGAAGTCCCAAAAAATTCAACCAAAAAGATTCTTAGAATTAATAACTAATTTCAGCAATGTAGCTGGATATAAATTCAACACACAAAAATGAACACTGTTCTTGTACACCAGAATTAGCCCACTGTGAAAGAAATTAGGGAAGCAATACCATTCACAACAGCATGAAGAAAAACTAAGTACTGTACTTAGGATTCAACCTAACCAAGGAACTGAAAGAGGCTTGTAACTCATAGCAATCCTCCTGCCTCAGCCTCCTAAGTGCTGGGATTACAGGTATATATACTATGCCTGGCTAAAATGCCCATACTTTCAAAACGGATACATAGATCTAATGCAATCTTTTAAAATCTATCATGTTTCAATTTTATCTCTGGTATATTCTTAATGTGATTCATCAAGGAATTAAAATACATAATTAACTTCACAGACTAATTAGAATTAATATTTTATCTTTTTTTTTTTTGGTACTGGAAATTGAACTCACGATGTCATGCTTGCCAGTCAGGCACTGTGCTACTGAGCTATATCTCTAGTCCAATATTTTATCATTTTACATGGACTGTAGAAACCTTACTACCATGTAGGTCCCTCCAGTTTCACTTTTTTAATATTATAGTTATCTTGTGGTATGTGTTCATATACATTAACAACCTCATCATACAGTGTTGTAATTTTTAATATTTGCTTTAAATCCCCTCAAATATCTTTTAATTAGTTCAAAAGGAGAATAGACTATTATGTTTAATCAAATACTTAACATGTTGTTGCTCTTCCATAATTCCTGATGTTCCAAATTTCTTCTTGGTCTCATTTTCCTTCTGTCTAAAGAACTTCCATTTTAATCCTTTTAAATTCACTAACAACACATTCTCTTTGTTTTCATTCATCCGCAAATAACTTACTTACACCTTCATTCCTGAAAGATATTTTGATGGATGTGGAATTCAGGGTTGATGCTTCTTTTCTTTAAACTTTGGAGACTTTTGTTACTGGCCTCATGGCATTTGATGAGAATTCTGCAGTCAATTAAGTTATTATTCTTTTGTAAGAAATGCATCCTTTTTGTCTGGACACTTTCAAGATACTCCTCTTTGTTTTTTTGTTTTCAGCAGTTTAATTATAGCATGTCTAGGCATGGATTTCTCTAGGTTTGTTCTGTTTGGGGTTTGCTGAGCTTCCTGAATCTATAGGTTTATGTCTTATCAAATTTATGATGTTTTCAGCAATTATTATTATAATATTGAAAGGGAAAAACTGTACAAGAGAAATTGTTCTTTCAAAAACTTTGTTCTTTTGAAACTGCCTAGCTCTGCAACTGCTTCACAGCTTTGTAATTACTTTCTTGACCCCTGTAACCAGGAGCACATAACCGAACATTCAGGATACTTGATTGTACCAAGCTTGGAGGTCATTAATCTAGTCTTGTAACTGATGATCATTAGTCTAGCCCTGTAACCAATGATCTCCCCCTGCTAGCTAATCAGAAGAACTGCCAGACTGTTCTGTCTCACCTTTGTACTTCCTTTGTACCTCCTATTTGTGCATCATATAAAAGCCTTAGACCACCAGAAATTGGGGCCTGATATTCTGAGAATGATCCTGATCAGTGCTCATTGATGAAGTAAATAAATCTGCCTCCAGTCCTGGGTGTTGTTTTGGTGTTTCTGCTTGCCATTGCAATATATGTATATATATCCGTATTTCCACTTCTCCTTATGGGATTCTGGCTATACACATGACATGTTTTAGCATTTTCTTACAGGTTGGTGAAGTTTTCGTTTTTCTTTCAAGGAGTTTGAGTTGTTCAGGCTGAATAATTTTTATTGATCTATCTTAAAGTTCACAAATTCTTTTTTTATCTCCTTTCTGCTATTGAACCCATCTAGTGGGATTTTAATTTGGTTACTATCTTTTTCACTTTCAAAATTTCCATTTGTTTCTTTTCTTTCTTTTTTAAAATTTTTGTCTTTTTGTGACAGTCTCATTATGTAGTTCAGACTGGACTTGAACTCACTTTGTAGCCCAGGATGGCCTCAAACTTGCAGTGATCCTCCTGCCTCAGCCTCTCAAGGGCTAGGATTACAGGTGTGTGCTACCATGCCTGGCTCCACTTATTTCTTTTTAAAAGATTGTCTCACTTCTTGTTGAGTGCTGGGGATTGAAATCAGGGCTTCTCTCATACTGTGCAAGTGCTCTGGAGCTGAATTACATCCTCAGCCCAAGTGTATCTGTTTTGTGTCAAGACTTTTTTTTTGGTACCGGAAATCAATCTCAGGATCTTGTGCTTTCCCGGCAGGTGCTGTGCCACTGAGCCATACCCCAGATATACCAGGCACTGCGCCAAGACTTTCTATTTATACATTTGTTTCAAATTTTTATGATTGCTTGTTTTTTATGATTGCTTGATTGAACCAGGGCCTTTGTACTGGCTACTACCCTAACCATTTAAAAATTTTTATTTATTTTTTGTTTTATTTTGGACAGGGTCTTGCTCTGTAGTTCAGGCTGGCCTTGAGCTCATTATGGAGCCCAGGCTGGCCTCGAACTCACAGGCATCTTCCTGACTCAGCCTCTCAAATGTTGGGATTACAGGTGTGCACTATCATGCCTGGCTATCTATTTTTATTTTTTGAGACAGTCTCCCTAAATTGCTAAATTGCCCCAGTTTGAATTTACGATCTTTCTGCCTCAGCCTCGGAGTGTGCTGAGATTAACGGGTATGTGCTACCATGCCTGGCCTAAAACAGCAGTTGAAAAACTGTCAGATAGATCTGATGTGGTGGAGCATGCCTGTAAACCCAGCATTCGGGAAGCTGAGGCAGGAGGATCTTTGCGAATTCGAGACCAGCCTGGGCTACAAAGTGAACTCACAGCCAGCCTGAACTGCATAGTGAGACCTTGTCTCAAAAAGACAGCAAAACAAAACAAAAAACTGTCAGATAATCCCAACAACATATGGGTCTTTATTACACTCATGTTTGTTGGTTGTCTTTTAGAATATGACCAGTTCTGTCTTTCCAGTTCTTCATTTTTGAATAATTTTTATTATAGGCTGAATGTTTGCATATTAGATTATGAGACTATTGGTATTGTATAAATTCTGTGGAATATGTTATTGCTATTTTGGCATGAAGTCTATTTCTCTTGACAGGCAGCCACTATGACCCTTGTCTTTGTGGGACTGGGGCAAGGGAGGAAAGTGGGCCGTGGAAGGACAGAGGGTCATCTGAAGATGGGGTAATTTTGAGGCGGGATACTATTTTTGACAACTACGTCCAAGAGCCATATGGAATTGTTAAGAGAGTAGACTCGAGTTCTCGCGAGAGACCTGGGTGAGAGACCTGGGTGTGGGGGCTGGGCGGGGGAGCTGCATCATGCGCATGCGCAAGGGCCGGCGCGAGCCTTTGTGCGCATGCCCACTGCATGGTTCCCGTCAGCCAACTCGCACTACATGGTTGCTAGGGAGGGTTCGGTGTGCCGGCGGTGTTTCGGCGTCTAGATTTGTTTTCACCTGTGAGGACGTCGGCAGTAGGTAGGTAGATTAGTCTATTAGAAATTTTAAGTGTGAGGGGGAGCTGGTGGACTTGGGCAGGTTGAGCAGTGATGTTTGGGCCCTGGGAGGAGGAAGGGCTTCGAGGTCGTCGTTTGTTTTTCTTTTCCTTCACAGGCTGTACCACCATGGGCTTTGTCGTGGGGTGTCGAGTGGGTCGGTATGGGGGAAGATGGTGGACCAGAGAGGGTAGGGGGTGTGATTAGAGGTATCTGAGTCCCACAAGGACCTAAAGAAGCCGACAGATTGTTGGGTCGCTTGGGGGGGGTGGGGGTGGGGCGGGGTGGCCACGCAGGCCTCTGTGCGCATGCTCACATGCTCACTATGAGTCTCCCGGCAGTCATCGCGCCAGCTGTGTGGTCATTCAAGGGGGTCAGTTGGTCGGTAGGTTGTGTCCCTGCATTTTAAGTGGTTTTTACTTCCTGGGAGTAAGGCAGGTAGATCAGTCCTGCCAAAAATTAAGTGTAAGGAGGGCCTAGCTGGTTTGGGGCGGGCAGTCTGCGTCTTTGGAGGAGGAAAGGCCTCACGGTTGTCGTTCCTGGCAGCATAGCAACCATGTGCCCTACTGTTTGGTGGGCTACGAGGAGGGGAAGAGGGCTGAGGAGCGGAGGTGTGTGTGGAGGTGTCTGAGTTTAATAGGTGCCTGGGACAGCGGATTCTGAGTCGGGAGGGAGAGCCACCGCGGCCGAGGCGGCCTGGACCTCAGTGTGCATGCCCACTGCGTGCCTTCCGGGTGAGGCTCGCCGAGCACCGAGCCGTGTGGTTGCGTTCCTATGTCTCGACTCGTTTTTCCCCTGCTGGGGTGTAGCCGGGAGGTCCCCAGATAAGTCCTCCCCAGAGCTGAGGTGTGAAGGAGCGTGAGGAGAAGTTTTGGGGCCACGGGGTTGGAACGGCCTCGAGGTCCTCGTTGTCCTTGCCTTCAGAAGCGCCTGGGACAGCCGGCAGAGTTCTACAGGGGACTGGGGAACCGAACAGGGGGTTGGTGTGTGCAGAGAAGGAAGAGCCTGGAATCTGGGGTGCTGTGGGGTTGAGGCCGCATCCCTGGGATTTGTGGAGGGTCTAGTGAGGGGCTGCTTGCTGTTCTGTATTACAGCTTCTCATCCCTGCCAGGGACAGTATCAGAATGGACTTAGAGGGTACCAGAAGGGACTAGGAAGGCTAGATTATGATGAAACTTTATTTGAGGAGGTATATAGCCCTAGTGAGTGCAAGTGTGATGAAAGCAGTAGTCAACTGTGTTTTTTTTTTTTTTTTTTCATCTTTTTGAGACAGGGTCTCACTGTGCAGTTCAGGCTGGCCTTGAGCTCACTTTGTAGCCCAGGCTGGCCTCGAACTTGCAGTGATCCTCCTGCCTCAGCCTCCCGAGTGCTGGGATTACAGGCGTGTGCCACCACGCCCGGTGTCATGTGTGTTTTAATTTTCTAGGGTTTTCTTGAATATGTCCACGATGGGCCCTAAGTTATCTGCATGATGGGGAATGCAGTGCAACAAAAACTTGTCTCTTGCTGTGTACCTTAAAACATTTTAAGACAGCCGGGCATGATGGCACATGCCTATGGTTTTTTTTTTTTTTTTTTTGGTGGTGCTGGGGAACCAACCCAGGGGCTTCCTGTGTGTTAGACAACTGCTGTACTACTGAACTGTATTCAACATGAGCCCCTAGTTATCCTCCTAAGTGGGTTTTCTAAATCATTTTATTCTGCTTTCAGTGTGAAACATGAGTGAGAAAGTAAAATCAACATCTAAAGCTGAAGGACAAAAGAGAGATGATCAACTTACTCACCCTCCTGAGCCTGTGGTCGTGAGTGCTTTAATATTTGATGTTTTCTGTTAGAAATTTGTGGTAGTGTTTTTAAACTAGTAGAGATACAATAAAAGTTTTCATGGTAATGAAGTAGTAGAATCTTATTTAAGGAATATTGATTCAGGTGTTCTTGTTTTGCCTGGATTAATAGTCTTACCTTTCCTCAGATTTTGCTTATGACTTCTTATGCTTATTGATTAACATTGCACACATCCATTCCAGCATGGAGTAAAATAGCTTCCAGTCTTTGTAAGTAACACTTTTTTTTGATAAACCACTCTTTGGGAAGATAAATTTTATTAAGAATAAGTATATAGAGTAGTGTTAGAAAAACGTCTTTTACACTTATTTATGGTCAGATATATTTGTATTATTATTATGTATTAATAAATTTTTTGTTTGCACGCACACCCTTAGGCGCAGCAGCCCAGTAACGAACAACCTGAACAAGAGCAACCACCTGCTGAAATTCAGGCTGATGCATTTGGTCAGGAGGAGCTGCATGAAGAACCTGCAGCTGAAGGTGAAGGGATGGGGAGGAAGAATGCTTGGAATGTGTGTGTGCATGCTCATGTGTGTCTCATGTGTGTGCATATGTGCTTTGTACTTGTGACATACCAGAAAAGGAGAAAGAAAACATTAGAAACATCACCTGAAAATTGGCTAGAACAGTGAGTGGGGTGTAGTTTGTAGCTTAGCTTATAGGAGTCCCTCACTTTGATAAAATTTTTCCATTTTCTGATTGAGAGAACTGAGGCTCAGGGTTTGTGCTTTATCAAAGAATACTTCATTGGTGAATACAAAATGTGTGTATTGTTCCAAAGTTTGTGCCCTTCCCTCCATATTGCAGAAGCAAAATAAGTGGATGGTTTTGTTTAAATGCTTGAAACTCATTCGTCTTCACTGTAAGGTAACTCAGTAATGGCCCCAAAATAAACCCTTTTCAGTGGAGGAAGACCAAATCCAGAAATGATTTAGAGGATTATGGATACTATTTCCTTTGATTGATTTTTTTATATGATAAGGTTGGTAAAAGCCAGATAATTTAAGATACTGAATTTTCAGTATCAGGCGTACAGTGTCTGGTTTAGTTTTTTTTGTTTTTGTTTGGTACTGGGGATTGGATGCAGGGCCTTTGCATTGGGCTATGTCCACAGCCCTTTTTATTTTTTAGTTCGAGGCAAGATTGTGCTAAATTGCTCAGGTAGGACTCAAACTTGTAATCTTCCTGCCTCAGCCTCCCAAGTAGCTGGGATTTCAGGTGTTTACCACAGCACCTCTGTAGTATGATTTTTTTTTAAAAAGTGGCTTTGTAAGAGGAGGTCAAGTTATTTTAGAGTTATAAAAATGAAAATAAAACATTATCCTGAGACCAGTTGGTTTGCAGAATGTTCATCAGCTTGGGCTTTTTTTCTGTATTTATTTTAGGACTTTTTTTTTTCATTCAGCATTTCTTAGTGACTACTCATGCCATGTAACCTGCTAGGTGCTAGTGGTCTAAGACTACTACTAAGAGACAAGATTTCAACCTTGAGTCAGACTCAAATCACTAATGTGATAAGGATAATCACACAAGTACAGTAACAGAGTGAGTACACCGGGCAGGAAAGTTGTCTGAGGACAGTCTTGGGAAAGGAAAAGGGTAATATTGGGAAACTTCTGCTTTTCTGTTTTCTGGAAGTAGACGCTTGAATAATGTGTTTGGGATTTTTTTTTTAAATTTCTGGGGATTGAATTCAGCACCTTTGTAGTGAGTTATACCTCCAGCCCTGTGTTTTAATTTTGGGTCTCACCTAATCACTCGGTTGCCCAGGCTGGGTTTGAACTTGGAATCCTTCTGCCTCAGCCTCCCAGAGTGCTCGTAGTCCAGATGTGTGCCAATACTAATGACAGTCTAGAGGTTCTTACCATATTTATTATCAAACCAGCCAAAAGTTTTTATTTCATGACACTGAAGGAAGTAAATATTTATCACTTATTAATACTTCATATTTTACTACTTAAGTTGATAACCTTTTTATTTTTAAGGGCCTGAACTGGAGGCAGATCTTCAAGAAGTAGAGCGGCCCAAGACTGGGCGCGAGCGGGGAGATGGTCCAGATGTCAAGGGGAAACGTCTGCTGAGATTGGACTATACTAAATACCCTGGGTCAGGTAGGTTACTTATTAAATATACAAATTATAGGGGTGCCTTTTCTACAGTATTATATTTTTAATAGGTAACATTACTCCTTTAATAACTGAGTTGTTATGTAAATTATTTGAAATGTAGTTCACATTCCAAATGCCTGATTTACACACTTAGAGATACAAACTGGGTCAAAGCCATATTGAATTAAAGCACTTCCTTACTTTTGTGTGTAAGTTGTGACACCCATAGCTAATAATTTTCAGATACTTAGTCTGCTTTTAACAAATACATAAGACATTTGTAATGCATGAGTTTGTGAAATATGCTGAAGTGCTGAAGTATGTTCTAAATCCAGCTCTTTCTTAATTTTTGAGATTCTGGATGAATCCTTTAACTCCTAAACCCAGCTTTGGTTTTTTTTTTTTTGGTCTTTTTGAGACAGGGTCTCAGTATGTAGTCTAAACTGGTCTTGAACTTACTTTGTAGCCCAGGCAGGCCTCGAGCTCGCAATGATCCTCTTGTCTTAGCCCCCTGATTCTCCTGCCTCACCCTCCCGATTTGCTCTTATAAAAATGGTTCACATCAGATATTTAAAAGTCATTTTTAGTTCTGATTGCTTTGTACTCTGGTTTCTGTGGGATAGAACGTAGAATATAAAAACATTGGGTTTGCATGATTTATAATGCAGGTACAAAGTACTTTCCATTAGTCTTTTAAATGTTTTTCTTCTGTGCTGCTAACCTGTTCCATTTGACTATTTATGTTAAAAGATAAGTTTTCAGACTTCTTCCAGGAACCTAATAAACATAGCTAAAATGTGCTCTCAGGAAAATTAGCCTTAAATATTTGCGTTAGAAAATGGTGATAAATTGCGTTAAATTTAATAGAGAATATTTTTTTAAAAGCACCAAAATAAACCAAATGGAAAAAGAAAAATTTTATACTAAGAATATGAATTACTAGAAAAATGAAAAGCAGTCCAACTAATGTCATTCAGATTACTCTTGTAGAAAATACCTGAAAAGAAGATTCAGTAGCTTAGACACTCTTGAGAAAAATGGACAAAACCCAGATATTCACATTAATATGAGTAAGGCACTGACAGATATTAAATATATAATTATTTATGTATCTGTGTCTTTGGATTTCTAGTCTTGCGTTTTTCCTTTTTTTAGCCCCTTCTTCCTTCTGGTCAGACTCATGAGAGAGTATATTCTCTTTTTGGGGGGCAGGGTACTAGGGGTTGAAACCAGGGGGTTTGCATTAAGCTAGATCCATAGTCCTTTTTGAGACAGGGTCTCACCAAGTCACCAAGTTGTCCAGGCTGGGCTTGAACTTACAGTCTTCTTGCCTCATACTTGTATCTACTTCACATTTTGATGTTACCATGATAATAATGGCTTTAAACTTGTGTGGCCATTTAATAATTGGAACACTTTTAAGCACGTAAATAGGTGGTATGGGGCTGGGGATTTAACTTGGTGGCACAGTACCTGCCTGGCAAGCGTGAGGTTCTGAGTATGATGCCTGGTACCTGCCCCCCCAGTAAAAGAGGTGGTGTTCATAACTGGAAGAATAAGCATTGGTAAGAATGAGAACAAATGCTGATCTTACTTAAATCAGCTACATAAGAGCTAAACTGTCCCCAAAATAATTTTTATACCTTCCAAAATAAAGACAAACCAAATGCAGTGCTGCTGTTTACTTACCGTTTACTTCACTTACGCAGTTTTAAGTGTGAATTACAATTTTTGATATTCGTGTATTCAGAATATTATTTCAAATAGAAACATTTAAGAGACACTTTAGAAAAGCTTTCTTTTATTTTTTAGGTTTTTACTTTTTTTTTTTTTACTAAAAGTATATATAGCTTTTACTTCTGCTAGAAACAACCTTTAGTTTACTATGTTGTGAACTTGAACAGTTTGTTTCCTTGTACCACAGGAGAGACTGCTGTGTTGAACAACGCAACTAACGTACTTAGGAAAATCATAGCATATTGTTAATAGACCTAAAAGTCTATCCTTGAAGTCTATAGGGAGGTCTAACTGGATTTAAGCCACAGGATTACCTTTAGGGTTCTAGTTTCAATCCATTTTATTAAACCCAAACTGTAGTAGCCTTTGTATGCCTTTAATGTCATTTAAAGTAAGTAATGTTCTCTGTGGTTATGTTTGTATTACAGGAGAAGGGCCATCACGGGCTTAAAACAAGGTGAAAAAAATCACACAAGTTGCTGTTATGTTGGAAGCTTGACATCTCCAAATTCTTCCAATAAAGCTTTACAGCATAACTTTTGTTTAATTTTTTTCTAGGTATTTGATGTCAAAATATGTATTTTAATAATTCTAAAAGTGTATTGATAAGATGTTTTCAGCATACAGAAATACCTTTGAGAATAGTTTTGTTTGTAGCATTTTAAACATCATACCTTTTATTCCCCTTTCTCACTTTGTAGCATTGGACGGAGCCACCAGTACAGTGTGAAATAGAACTGGTGATAGTGGACATTCTTGTCTTATCCCTGATCAGAAATGGAAAAAAACTTAGCATTTCATCAAGGTGTTTAATGTACCTTTTTGGGGTAGATACACTTTATCAAAGTATAGTTGCCACTTTCCATTCTATTCTTGCTGAGAGAGTATTTATCTTCAGTGTATGTTGAATTTCATCAGTGTTTCTATTGAGATGATCATAGCATCTCCCCCTTCCATTAATGTTTACTATGGGGAAGTAGATTGATAAATTTGTATATTTAAGCCAACCATGTATTCCTGGGGCAAATACAATTTGGTCATGTTTAATACATGTTTCCAAAATTGGTTGAGGATTTTTATGTACTGTATATACTCTTGAGATACATTGTTCTATACTTTTAGTGCATGTGTTCCTGTTAGACCTCTTTATTCTCTAAAATTGAGGTTTCCACATGGCTGTGAATAATGTAATGCTGGGCTTGCCAAGGATGAGCTATTTCTGGATTGCTCCTGTCTTTCTTTTGCACCTTGACATTAATTGGCAGTTAGAAGGGGCAGCTCCGGGTTGCCATTTCTTCAAACATTGTAAGACCCCATCATCTCTGCAAGATTGTTCTAATGATGCCGTCCCTAGGAAAGCTATCTGGTATTATCCTTCTGTATATACAAAGTGGTTTTTTTTGTCCTTTTGAGACAGGTCTTGCTATGCAGTTCAGGCTGGCCTTGAACTCACCTTACAGCCCAGGGTGGCCTTGAACGCCCAACTATCCTGCCTCAGCCTCCCACCTCAACCTCCCGAGTGCTGGAATTACAGGCGTGAGCCACTATACCCAGCTGTGTATACAAAGCTAAAAGTCATTTCTTTATTAATTTTCCCAGATAATTTTGATTGGTGCTTGATGGCTGTGAATTAGGCTGGCTGGCTCTAGGACAGTTTTGATAGTAGTTCTGTTTGAGGGTTTTTTTTTTCTGGTACCAGGAATTGAATGCAGGACCTTGCGCTTGCCAAGCAAGGCGCTGTGCCACTGAGCTATATCCATGGCCCTATTTGAGTTTTAAAGTCTAACAATAGCAGGAATTATAGTAGTGAAAATCCACATTTATTGGATGTGTGTTGTTAACTAGTTCTCAATGCCAGTTTTCATAAATGTACATGCTCATTTCATCCTCATAAAGAAGGTGAGTCAGTTTTCGTAAACTTTCACAATGTCTGACTCTCCAGTAAAAGCAGATTTGAGAATTCTATTTCTATGCTTATTTTACTTAGGGGTTTTATTCTCCCCTTAGGGGTTTTATTCTGCCCGTGAAGGAAGTATATCCCTACATGGGGCAGACTTCACATGGTATCTGTAGAGTCCCCAGTTATTCTTGTTTTTTTTTTTTTTTTTTTTTCTGTCCTGAAAATGTGTCTTGACTGCTCTCACCCAGCTCCTGCATGTTTTTCTCTGCAGGTTTGAACCTAGGCTGCGCCTTCGATGTTCTCAGGTGTACTGATAAAGCTGCTCAGGTTGTTGCTCAAAACACTGAAAGAAACTGGCCCTGTGCCTGAACCATATTCCTTAAACCTTCCTAGAAACTCCCTACACTGACTTCCTCGCTGCGGACAAACCTAGCTGGGCTCTTTCTTTTTGATGCTGGCAATTAGAATCCTGTAGCCTGCTCTGGAAGTTCTCCAAATGCTTGTAGTGGGTCACCTGGCCTTTAGTGCTTCTTTGGGATCCCATCTGGCCCCATCTAGGAATGATTTGTCACATTCCCTTGTGGGAATTTCCCTGCTGTTGCTTTTGGGAGTGTCCCTAGCCATGAGTTGGACTGGATGAAGAGTGTTAGATGAAATCATTGATACAGAAACTCTTAAAACATTTTTTCCATAATAACACATGTTATTGTGCTACAGAAAAAATAACCAGGATACTAAAGCCATTTGGGAAGGTGTGTGGGAAGACAGTTAGGAACTCATGTCATAAACCATATGGCAAAATGCTGCAGCATCCCCCTCAAACCCATCTGTTCTTCAAAGGTGGGAGGGAGTGGCCACAAATCTTTTTCTCCCACAAAATCTTCTCTTGGCCTGATGGCGACTGTATCTCACTGAGCAGACCTTCAAGATTCCTTGTTGCAAGCATGTGGAGCTCTGGAGAGGGCTGCACCGAATTTCCTGCTTCCTGTGCTGACGGTTGGGGAGAGAACACTATGGTTGCAGGGTCCCAATGCACTGGGAGTCGAGAGAAAAAGCTACAAAAAATGGCTTTCACCCCAGATAGCTCACTTGAGATGTAAGAATTGCCTTCTCAGTATTCTATAGCTGTGACGAGGAGGAGGCCAAAGAGAGAAAACAGAGACCGAGAAAAAGCAGCTGCTTTTGCTGCAGCACTAAGAGAAACAGACTTTAAATCTGATTCTCGGGGCCCCAAGAAGAACTCAACAACTACATTCATCTGCTGCCACTGTTAAAAGCCAGGCCACCTCAAGAGGAACTGCCCCAAGAAGCCCCCTGGGCCATGCCCAGAATGCAAAGGTGACCACTGGAGATCGGTCTGCCCTCTGAAGCGGAGGCCCCAGAGCTCAGACCCATCCTACCAGTTAGTCTAACAGGAATGAGGGGTTCCGGGACATTCTCTGCCTTCTCCCTCTGGCCAGACTGTCATCTCCATGGAGGAGCCCTGGGTAATCATGACTATATAGGAAAAAGAAAACAGCCTGTTTCTAGACACAGGTACAAGTCTCTTGGTCCTTTTCAATCCTGGCCTTCCTTCCAGCCATCACACCTCAGTGAAAGGAGTTACGTGAGGAGGTAATACGCTATTTTTCACAACCCTTCGGCTGTAACTAGTTAGATCTTTCTTGGATATCTCTGTCTTCCTGAGAAACCACTTTGAAGATATCACCATGTATTACAGCAGCCATTGATATTCTCCTACTAATCTGTCCATAACACTGTAATGTTTGTATTGGCCTATGCTATTTTGTAAATGGATGTATGTTTATTACTGTGTGTTTCCTACAACAACCATTGAGAATAGTGAATGAATATTCAGTTGGTCACTCATGTATAGCTCTGTTTATTTTCTTTAGAAACCACTTTGAAGATACCAAAGTATAGTACAACAACCATTGATAATCTAGCACTTTTGTCTGTAGCTCACTATTATTTGTCCATTTGTTTTTCTGAGAAACTATCTTGTAGCTAACAATATGTAAAACAACCATTGATAATTTCCTACCACTTTGTCTGTAATTCAATAAGCCCCCTATTACTATGTTATCCTTCTTTTACTCTTTAAAATAAAGATTCCTTGTTGCAGCTTTATACCTCTACTGCCATATACAGTAACAGTATGTTATATCTTTGAGCCCTCATTTGCATCGTCGTGCCTCTCAGGAACCAGTTCTGCAGAAAAAAAATCTTAGCTCGGAATCTACTCTGCAAGGGAATTATAAGCAAAAATACTTTATGCCTTTTGCAGGGGTTCAAAAAGATTTTATGGTCCTAGCTGGGTATGGTGGCCCATGCCTGTAGTCCCAGCATTTGGGAAGCTGAGGCAGGAGGATCACTTGAGCCCAGAAGATTGAGACCAGCCTGGGTAACATAGATCCTATAGCCAGAATTTTTTTTTTTTTACTAATCCCAAAGGACCAGATAATGTGATTCAAATAGAGAATAAATGCAGGGTGTGCTGCTTTACCTCAAATGAGGTCCCTGCATTGTGAAACTGGCTGAAAAGAGTAGAACTTACATAGCAAAGATAAAGGAACCAGGAGAACTTGCTAATTACTTGAGTCCCATCCATAGTCTCTTTAATAGTCGGTGGCACTAAATAGCCATCAGTTTCCATTCGGATTCTGAAACACAATGACCCTGTGGTGGGAAAAATACATCTTTTGGGTCGGTTTCCTCATTTCTAAAGTAGAAATTACAGTATTTGCTGTGCAGAATAAGTGGGAACCAATAGATGCGGTATTTGCCATGGGGATACAATGACCTTGTGGGGCAAACAGGAGCAGTTGGGAGTACAGAAGAGGAACAAAGGGAAAGGGCACACACATGCCCACCAAGTGAATGGAGCAGCCAGGAAGGATGGAGGATACAAAGCCCTGGGAGTGAAAGACATCTAATTATTGGCCTTCCCATTTTGGCTCACCTCTGGGTTCACATACTTAATTCTGTTGGTGTAAGGCTGAGTCATATATATGCCTCATGAAATAAAATAGCCATACTGGCAATGTTGTGTTAAAAAAGAATTTACTGAGGGTTTATTCTGTTCATTAGGCCCTCAGTAAATCCTGTATGGGGAGTCTTAAGTGAATTAAGCAATGGTGCCCCTAACTGAGGGTGTATCTGTGAAAGTAGCAGTGTCCAAGATTAGTTATAGAAGTAGCAAACAGACTGGTACTAGATACTTCTGGAAAATGTGTGGAGTAAAAGGCTCAAGCCCTTTGTACTAGGGATTCCCAAGACTACCCTCAAACTTTGTGATCTTGGATTCAGAAGTTGTTATACTCACAGGTACAGTTTTTTAAAGTCAAAGAAAACAATCAGTAAGGGAAAAGTCACATGGGGTGAAGTCCAAGAGCGAACAGGTGCAAGATTACAAGTGTTTCTTTTCAGTGGAACCAAATAGGGACACAATAATATATATTCTCCCACCAATAGCATGTGGCAGAATGCTTGATGTTCAAGATGTTTATTGGGTAAGCCACATAAGCATGCAAAGCTTGTGTGACCGACCTTGGCTACTGAGACCCCAGCCACCCCAGGGCAAAACCAAATAAGCAACCACAAGTTACATTGTTAGGGCAAACTTAAATGGTCCCA